TCTTGGTTATTTCCAGTGTTGCCCACTATCGCTTACCACAAGGTACACCTATAGCCTGATTCTTCGGTTCTTTGTGGAGGCACAGCTGAGTGCTGGGTGCCACTCTTCAGCACTGGAAGGCCTCTTCTCCTTGGGCAGCCGTGCAGCAGGCCTTGTAACCCAAAACCAGCCCACTCAGAGCCAAGCAAGCCAGGCAAGGACCAGAGAACTAGTAGACAAGGCCAAATGGAGGTCACCTTTTAGGGGTGGCCCTCTCTGCATTCTGTTCTGGCTGCTGTGGTCTTGCTGCAGAGACCTGCATCTCTGTCTGCCCTAGTGAGATCCTCGGACATCCTTACCCTTTCCCTCCATTATTCAGATTATTTTTACTTGCAGTCTCTAGTCTCTTCCCAGTGATTACAGCCAAACACTCTAACTTGGTCAAGATATTTTTAGGAAGCAAATCTGTGCCCCCGACACCCACTGCACTGGAATCCTGATGACTGCTGTTACCACTGAAGTTACGGCTGCAAAGGTGAGGCTGGAGCAGTGTTTACGCAGGGCTCCTCCGGGAGTTCTGATCAGGGTAAGAGCTGCTTCTGGAGGTCTTAAGTGCGCTTGCCCAGTGAGAATGTAGGTGTGGTGTAGGGGATAATCAGACGTCCTGGGATTCCTGCCCTCTGCAGTGGGAGAACATTCACGCATTCAGGAACCATGAGTGGAGGACCTATTATACATGCTTCTACAGATGCAATCAAAACAGAAACCTCTCTCTGCTAAAGTATACTTTCAGGAGAGGAGTGAACAATAAAAGAAAAATAAACAGTATTATCACTTGAAACCTGCAAACAAAAAGCAGAGGAGTCTGTGTGTCTGTGTGTGGGGAGGTCTTAGATGTAGCTGGGTGGTCACATAGGGAGTCCCTATGAACTTACATTTGCAGAAAAGGAGAAGAGCTTGAGGACAGGGAGTAGGGAGAGAGCTTTCAAGTCACACCCAGATACCTGTGCGAAGACCCCAAGGTAGGAAAAGATCTGGGGTATGGGAGGAACAGAAGGCCAGTGCAGCTGGTGTGCAGAAGGCAAAGAGGAGAAACTGGATCAGAGAGAGGAGGTGGAGGTGGGAGGTGGGCACCTGTGATCTCCACTTTCACCCATCTAAAAAATAGAAATATCAGAAGTTGTAACCAGCCATCAACCCAGTAGGTATGAAGTGCTGGGTAAAGCTGCCTTCCATGTGGCTCTTCATTTTACTGGCATTTATGACATAGATCCCCAGAGCAGGTGCTTCAGGACAAATCATCACCCATCACTTCCGCACCTATTTGCTGTTGGAGATAAGGCTCAGGAGAGCCCAGTTTCACAGGACTTATCATAAACACACAAAAAAATGCACATGGGTTTCTTCCCAAAGAACCCATCGTCAGCATGGTGAGAAAGATGCTTAAAAAGAAAAATAGTATGGGAGAATCAAACATCCTAAATGTTCTCTGTCTGCTGTTTATTAAGGGAGGACACTTCCCAGAATCCTGATTGTCAGTGGAAAACGCTGACAATCACCAGAAGTAGTTTTATCTCTCTTAGGTATCCTGGCTTCCCTGTGTGTCTTTGGCTGATTAGACATCAGGAAAAAGTTCATGCAGTGGGGCTCAGGCTTTAGCTGTTCTCTTTGTAGATCTATAAATGCTTTTAGCCAGCTGCCTGCTGTACACCAGCTGTCAGGAGAGCACTGTGTTCACTCATTCATCCACTCACTCATTCTTTTTAAACGCCTCGTGGTATCTGGGAACCAGGGGCTTTTCTCTGCCTTTTCTTGACCCCTAAATATGAGCACATGTGTGGAGTAAGGATGCCGGTTATGGTTCCAATAATGAAGGAGACACTAGGACAGAAAAAGCAGGATGAGTGAATTTGGAGGGTAAATGTGGGGTTCATATTCCTGCAAGAAGACAGACACAAATAAACTGACCAGAAATGCTAGAGTGCAAGTGCCGTGAGAACAGACGGGTGGCGAGGCAGCAGAGGACAGCGTGCACAGTGCAGAGTAGCACAGAGGTCAGGAAAGCACGTCTGGGCAAGTGGCTTCTCACATCTTCCCGGGCGGGGCAGACAGTAAGAACCAAGGCTCCATGACCTGGAACCGCAGTGAGGACACTGGGGCAGAGCCACGTGGGTGAGATCGGAGAGGTGTCAGGGAGAAGCACAGATGGAACACCGTCCCCTGAACAAGAACTCCGAACTCGGCCTAAGGAAGACAACGAAGGGGTGGTGGCAACTGGCCATCCTGTCGTGAGAACAGACCAGAGGTCCTGCTGGGGATCACTGCAGTAAGGAAGGCCAAAGAAAGAGTGGAGCATGCATGTCACAGACAGACACAGGGCAGGAGGGCTGACGGAGACCCCGATCATCTGCCTCCTCCCTTCAGGAACCAGGAAACAAGGCTGTCAGATCGCCTGAAAGAGGTATTTTTCATAGCAGACATTTTCATAAATGCAATTCACTTGATAACATCCTTAAGAATTTTTCTGCTTTAAATCCCTTAGCAAACCTGGGTGAGAAATGCCTGCCTTCAGAACTTCCCACACACTGCCGTAGCTTGATTCAAGAACAGCGTGAAGGCAAGCCTCGTGCAGCTCACCCAGTAAGTACCCACACACGATGTCAGACTGACTGCATGTTACCCATTGTAGTGCTCTTTAACAAAATACGAGCATGCCCAGGGTAGGTGGGCCACACCTGCTGGGAGCAACTGCAGTGCCGCTACCCTGGCCCAGGGAAACCTTTAAAAATAACCACAGGTTAGCATGGAAATCAGAATCTCCACAGTTGCGTGTTCTTAGAATCCAAAATGTCCCATGTGAGAGATCCTTAAGTGGCTTCTCCCTGGACAAGCACAGCTATGCCTTTTTGCATCCTGCTTGGCTGAAAAAAGACCATGACCCTTTGTGCCTAGAGCCTCTGGCTGTCTTCCCTGTTTTACTGTCTCCAGGCTCTTCCTCTCCCACAACTAATCCAGTCACTGATTTCAGAGAGGCCTTGATGGAAGCCCTAAATGGAAAACTCTTTCCTTCCCTTTCTGCCATGTGGTTATTATAAAGGGCAACCTTTCATTTTAAAACCATGTGGCTTCAAACACATGGCAAACTCAGCGACTGTCATGAGTAGACTGTGCTCAGTGACTCCTGATGACAAGCTGAGGAGATGGAACCTTGGAGCTGGCCGGAAGCTCAAGAATTTAGTCAGTCAATTTACTCACTGTCACCAGAGCAAAGGGCCCTTTATCTTCTATTGTTGCAATTTGGAGTTCTTCTCTTTCAAATAAAAAACCATGGGCTGAGGAGATAGCTCTGCAGCATAAGCACCTGACTGGCAAGGGCAAGGTCCTAAGTTTGATTCTTGGTACCAAAAACATTTACCTGTTCTCCAGGCTTGTGCCTCTGGTGGTTCTCACCCAGAAGCTGGTACCACCTGATAGAATTGCCCCATGCTGCAGGACAGGACCAGTGGTGGTTCAGAGCTGCCTAGCAGTGAGTCATATGAATTACAACCTTTTTGTAGTTCTGTTAAATATGACTTTACCTTGATAAATTAAAGGTAGAGAAAGAGGTAAGTATGAATAGCATGGGGCAACTTGCCTTGGGATGGCTAGGTGCATGGCATGATTAGCTGACACACAACCCATTCAGCCACCTTTCCTGAAAAGCAGAGGAGAAAATTACCACAAGAGTATGAAAACTAGATATAACCTTTAATTCCGATTACCTTTAAAACATCCTTATTTCTTCTAAGTCACAACTTTTAAAATTATTAATAAGGTAAAATAGTGTGGGTTGTAGGCTCTATTTTCTTCAAATAGGACCTTATGAAGTAATTTGTTGTGTTCCACAAATTTCAAGGTGCTTCTCCATGGCGTCAGTAATCCTCACAATAAACTCTAGGTAGGTAATGGGCCTTCAGGATAAAAAAAATTGATCCCGATGTATAGGAGGAAAAATGAGGTACAGCAAGGTACAAAGGTGCCACAGAGCGCACAGTAGCCCTAGGGGTCAGAACTCAGGGCTCTGTCAGAGTCCTGCTTCCCTCTTCCACACTCACCCCACAAAGTGTAAATCTTGACAAAGAACTTGGACGTCAGTGAGACCGCCTGATGTGTATGCTTTCTCAAAATACGAATGTTTTTAGGAATAAAACTCATATTTACAGTTATCAGCTCCCATGACATCTACACTAAAAAAGTAACAAGAAACAGGAGTAATTAACCTTAATAATTTTTTATTTAATTCATTATTTCAATAGGTAATCAATATAAAAGGTGTAAGATGTTTTGCATTCCTCATGCTAAATTTTCAAGATATGATATATATTTTACACTTTATTTGAATGCCAAATTTTGATTCAAAATACTCTATCTGTACCTACATTTCATAAGTCTTACAGGTGAAAAAGTAGATTGACATATCTACCTCCTTCCAAGAATCCTTAAAAGTTTTCCCAATAACTCAGTTGAGACTTATTATTTAAGTTACAGTTTTTTCAAATTAAAACTCACCCTCCTCACTGACACACAGTCAGGCGCTCGAGTCACCTGCAGCCAGCAGCTCTGCGCTGTGGCTGGAGCTACGAGGGGGTCTGCACAGGACCCTGCTGTTAGCAGGAATCTTCCAGAGTGGACAGCCTCCGTCTCGTAACAATATGACCTCAAGTTCTTCACTTTTCTCCACATTTTTAAAATAATTTAAATGATTCTTAAATTTTCTCATAAAATTTTGTATTCTTATAAACTTTTAAGCCATTCAGATTTAATACATTGCTGTTCCCTACTCGATTATGAAGAGGCTTATAATGAATTCTAAACCAAATCAGTCCTGTGCCTTTTTCTTGTGCAAATACTATGCAGTGTTAAATTAACTCCTCAAACCCAGTATTAAAAAGGGGTCCAATCGGGAAAATAGTTCAGTAGAATAAGCATTTGCCTGGCAAGGCCAAGGGCCTGACTTCAATCCCTGGTTCCACCGGAAAAAAAATATAATAAGGGGGTCCAGCTATGTTTTTCAAAACAAGAGGAAATATTTTGAGTTATTTACTTCTGTAAATAAGTCCTGAAAATCAAAATGTGGACCATTTGCTATGCTTATACTTTAGAAATAGCTCTCAATTTCTTCCATGATCTTGTCACTGGGATGCTGTCCCGTTGAAGGGCCAGGCCTGAGACAACAGCTCTGGTCTGTCTGATTTAACATATATCTCTGTGAGTCTGGAAATAACAAAACCACTGAACAAAACAGACAGCAAAATCTTCACCGCAGCTGAGGAACTGCCCTCTGCTCACACCCCCAGGATGCTCCAGTGCGGAAGCTGATTAAGGCTGGGGGCCGGAGCCCTCCGCCCCCAGCATGGCAGCACTACTCTCACATCCTGGCGCTCAACCTTTTGCTTTGTTCCCGAAGCTCCATCTTTGCAATTGCTGAGAGGTGGACTTCATCAGGCCCATCTGCTATGCGCAGAGCTCGTGTTAGGGCATACCTGGGGAAAAACCAAACAAGCGGGCGTTGGGGAAGTCATCAAAGATGAATGTGCCATTTTACTGTGTTAATTCTAAACCATGACAATATGGATCCCACTAAAACAAAGAATGTAAGGCAAATCAAGGAAGAAAGCTAAAGGGCTTCCAGGATGCCATTTTAAAATTCCCAACTTGGGAGTTTAGAGATGGTTGAACAGAGGTCCCTAACGCTCACCTCCTCCTCTTCCACAAAGAACCAATGTACAGGTACAAAGCTGCATTTTGAGATGAGGGACCAAAAAGAACGTTGGAAATCGGAGACTGGAGACTGAGAAGAAAGGTGGGATGACAGCACAGTAAGGGACAACACACCCTGCTACACAGCTAGAGGAGGGGAGTTGCTCTTTGCAGAGGTGGAAATGAAAGGAACCGCCCTTGCAGAGCCTACCAGAATGCACACTGGCATTCCACTCCTAGCTACTGGAGGGTTTTATAAGCCTCACAGGTTTGCAGTCTGTGAGGTAAGTACTTAGGGAAGCAATTTGAAGTCTCTACACACCTACTTTGGAGAGGATCTCACCTCAGCCTCCTGTACCCAGGAGCCATCTTGGGAAGGGAGTTATTGTCAGGACTTAGACTGCTCTGGGGCTCAGAAGCCCCTGCGCAGCCACATCTGTGGGCCTCTGCTGCTCTGGCTTTGGGGCTAGCTGTCCTATGAATCCAACTTAGTCCAGCAGAATAACTGTGGTCCAACCCCAACTGGGGACCTGCATATTATTAGGGAGACAGTTAACAAAATACAGAGGAAAGTGGTCTCTTGAGAACCAAGGGACAAGACCACTTGCCTGCTGAGATCAAGACTGGGTCAGACCCATGGCCTCGGGTCTGAGCCAGAACTGAAGGCAAGTGCTCCAAGTTCCCATACCTTTCCCTCTACATGGTGCTCAGATTCTGGTTTGTAATGCGGCAGGGTGGGGATACCATGGTTCCTTCTGCTCTGCTGTGCAGAGGGCATGACAAAAGGGCTTTAGGCAACTCTGACTCTGGCTGTCACTCTGTCCCCAGAGGTGCAAGTTAAAATAAGGTTCAGAGAAACTTTACCTGGATCCAGCCAGTTCTCCCAGACACTCACCCTAGATAAAGGGTTTGTGTGAAACAAACCTTGGCTCCAGCTGGTGCCCACTGTCCCCAGGTGTGCACTGCCCCCAAAGCAGAGAGGAACATTGAGATTCCTGCTACCACTGCATTCCCATGGCTCCTGCCACTTCCATGTTCCAAACCTTGTCCTGCCACACATTACTGTCAGAAGTGGATGAGAATGTCACAGAGCTGGTACTGTGCTTCCTGCCACCACCTCCCACGCAACATCTGGCTGTGAACCACTGACTCAGACGACACATTCTTCTTGCTTCTGCTGTGGCCATCAGTGCCAGGGGCCTTGCTAGTAGCAGAGCTAAAATCAACAGTGCCTGAGGAAATCCCCACTGCCTAGTAGGATCACCACTCCCAAAGTAGAAGTCCTACAGAGAGCACCTATTGTCTATGCCAAAGCTGCTCCAAGTGCTAGAATGTCCTCACTATAGCATGGTCCACAGAAGTAGGTTTCCTGATTTCAACACAGTACACATTCTGTCCATAGTTATTAACCACAGCCAAGGAATCTATAAGGAAACTAAATGCCAAGCTAGGAATAAAGCCAACACTTCTCTATTTAGAGCCACACTCCAAAATATTTCAGAGGAAATCCACTTGCTGCAAAGGCCAGCCCACAAAAGCGATGGTTACAGTTGGATCTGGAATCTAAAGGCTCATGTGTGGATGGGTTGGTCCCAAGCTGGTGACAAGAATGAGAAGTGGTGGAACCCAGCTGGAAGAGATGAGTCAGTGGAGACATGCCTCGGAAGGCCACAGCTCATCCCTGGACTGTGTCTCCTTTATCTCCTCCTTCCTTAACTCCTTCTGGCCATCACGAATGAGCTGTGTTGTCCCACTAAGCCTTCCTTCTGCCTTGCTAAAAGGCCCTAAAACAATAGAGTCAGCTGACCATGAACTGAGACCTCTGAAAGAGTGAGCCAAAATAAACTTTTCCTCCTTTATCTTCATTAACTCAGGTGTTTTGTCACAGCTACTGAAATTTAACTAGCACTATTGTAGATGTAACTAATACAACAGATGTACAAATCTCAATGCAGGAACAGACAAAAAAAAAAAAAAAAAGCCAGGTAATATGATACTTCCACAAGAACAAAATGATTTTTCTGCCAAAGATCCCAAAGAAATTGAGATGAAATACCTGATGGAGGGACAGTGAGATAGCTCAGCAGACTAAACATTTGCTTAGGCAAGCACAGGGACCACAGTTTGATCCCCGACACCATATGCTATGCTGGACCCGTCTCCAGGCCGGCCACTGAGTCTAGACATGGTGGCACACACATGTAATCCTAGTGCTGGGGAAGCTGAGAATAGGGTCACTATGAGTTCCAGCTGTATAGTAAGACCCTGTACAAAATACATTAAAAAACAAGAAAGAAATACCTGATGGAAAAATTAAAAGAATGAATAATGATAAAAAATTTAATGAGGCCTAAGAGAATACAGACAGATTGTTAAATGAAATCAGGTGAAATCAGCAGATGTTCAGATGAGAAATTCAGCAAGGAAACAAGAGAAGTAGAGAAGGAAATAGAGATCTTGAAAATGAAAGAGAACTCTTAGAAATGAAAAAATAAGTCAAACAAATAACACAGTTGAAAGCCTCAACAACAAAATAGATCAAGTAGGAAAAAAACAATACACACACACACACACACACACAGCAAAACAGACACAAACAGAATGAATTTCAAGACTCTAGGGACAGTATTAAATGAACAAACATCCATAGTTTGGTAATATCTGAATGCAAGGAATAAAGGGCATAAAAAATTCCTAGCAAAAAACTAATGTTGGGAAAGTTATGGGTATTCATGTTCAGGAGGTTTAGAGGACCCAAATAAACATGACCAGAGAAGATCTTTTCCAAGGCACTTCGCTGTGAAGCTGTTAAAGTATGAAACAAGGAAATCATTTAAAAATCTGCAAGAGAAAAGCATTATTGAGTGATTAACAGCAGATTTCTCAGCAGGGACTCTTAAGGCCAGGAGGGAAGAGAAAGACATATACTAAGTCCTTATAAAAAATAACTGCCAACCAAGATATCTATACTCAGATTTTTATACTTAATAAAGAATATTAAGAAGTGAAGGATCACAAAAGACCTCTCAAGTCAAGCAAAGCCTGAGGAAACACATGACCACCAGATCAGCCTTGATAAAGATGCTTATAGCAGGACTACAGCCAGAGGTGAAGCAAAGGTAACTACCATCTCTGCAAAGTAGGCAAAAGTATACTATCATATCAGAAAAGTAGGTTACACAAAAGAAAAACAGAAAATAATCTAACATTTCAATACCATAAACCATCAAACATAAAAATGAGAGGAAAAACAGAGAATATAGAAATATACATTCTATAAAAAGAATATATAACTTAAGAATGAAATCAGTTACAGGAATATAATCCATAAAATTGAATAAAGAATGCATAAAACCATGAATACATCAATGGACAGTAATGAGGTTGAGTCATAAAGAGAAGGTTTGCAGGACTGGGGTACAGCTCAGTGGTACAGTGCTTTGCTAGTACATGTGAGGCTCTGGGTTCTGTTCCTAGCATGTGCACACACACACTCACCCTAATGTCTCGCAACAAACAAGACTCACTTGTGAATTTTACTCACTTGTGAATTGTGTTTTGGGTACTGGGAATTGAACTCAGGACCCTGTGCTTGCCAGGCAGGCACTGTGCCACTAAGTTATATCCCCACCCCTATTTTACCAATTGTGTAAGGAGGAAATAATGCCATTTTTTTCCTCAAAGTATTCCAAAGTCATTCTATGAGTCAGCATTATACTTTTATCAAAACGGGAGGCCAACACAACAAAGAAATATAAATTAATATCCCTGATAATCACACATACAACAGAATACTAGAAAATAAATTCAACAGCACATCAAAATATCAGTCAAGTTACTTTCCTCCTAGGCATGCAAGGATGACTCAGTATATGCAAATCAAGAAACCTAATACAGCAGGTAAACAGAATGATCAAAACCCTATCTAAACAGAAGCAGAAAAAGCATTTGATAAATTCAGTCACTAAAATGCCTGAACAAATAAGGTGTAAAGGATCATACCTCAATAAAATAAGGTCATAAATAACACATCCACAGATGGCATCTTACTAAATAGGAAAAAGTCAAGGCATTTCCTCGGAGAGTGGGAACAGATTGAGTTGTCCTCAGTCACAGCCCACTTCTAGGAGTTTTAGCCAGAGTAGTTAGGCATGAGAATGACACAAATGCATATAAATAGAGGGGAAGAAGTCAAATTTATCTTTTTTTATTTACAAAGGATACTACGGTCCTATTCATAGAAAAATGGACAGATCCCCCCTCAAACAAACAAACAAACAAACAAACAAACAAACTATTAGAATTGATACACAAATTTAGTGGAATACAAAATCCAAAGCTGTTCTTTTTGTCAGTGGTAAGTTTCCTAAGTGAAATAAAAAGAAAGCAACATCATTCACAATAGCTACAAAAATGCATAAATAAATTTAACCAAGGAAATGAAAAAAGACCTCTACAGAAAAAAAAAATTACAAAGGATGATGAAAAACATTGAAGAGAACAATAACTATGGAAAGACTTCTCATGTTCAGAGACTGAAAAAATATTATTAAAATAGCCAAACAACCCAAAGCAATCTATAGATGCAGTGCAATCCCCATCAAAATACCAGTGACATTTTTTCTCCACAGAACTAGAGAAAATAATCCTAACATACATATGGAAGCATAAAAGACCTCAAAGACCCAAAGCCATTTTCAGCAAAAAGAACAAACCTAGACACATCATGTTATCTGATGCATGACCTACTCCAGAGCCATAGTAACAAACCAGCACGATGTTGCTATACAAACATACAGAGAGCAGTGGACGAAGCAGAGATCCCAGAAGTAAACTTAGGCCTCCACAGCCCGGTGATGCTCCACAAAGTGGCAAAAAAACACGGAAGAAATGGTGCTGAGAAAGCTGGACACCCAAAGCAGAAGGCTGAAATTAGACTGCTATTATGTTCCACCATGTGCAAACATCAAAACCAGGTCAAAGACTTACATGCAAAACCAGAAAGTCTGAGGCTATTGGAAGAAAACAAAGGATAAACACTGAAGATATTGGTACAGGCAATGAGTGTCCAGATAGGACCTCAACAGTGCAGTAAACAACAGAAACTGACAAGTTACATGTGAAAAGCCTTGCACAGCAAAGGAAACATACAGCAGAGAAAAGACACACACTGAATGGGAGAAAATATTTGCCAACTCTTCGTCTCACAGCTAGTTAGTATCCAGAATATACACAGAACTCAAAAATTTAACATCAACAAAAGTAATCCAGTTAAAAATGGAACGGGGCTGGGGAGATGGCTCAGTGGAATAAGCACTTCCCTGGCAAGCACAAGGGCCTGAGTTCAATTCCTGGTTCCATCAAAAAAAAAAAAAGATCATCTTAATAGATACTTCCCCAAAGAATAACTATAGACAGCTAAAAAATTTATGAAAAACATGCTCATTATCATTAGCCATCAGGAAAATGCAAATCAAAATCAAAATTACAATGGGGTACCATCTCACTCCAGTTAGGATAGTTACTATAAAGAAGAAAATATATATATATTATATATATTTATATATAAATATATATAATATATATATATATATATATATATAACAAATGCTGGCAAGTGTGTCAAGAAAAAGGAACTTCTATATACTTTTGGTGGGAATATAAATTAGTACAGTCATTATAAAGTATGGAGGTTGAAAATAAATCTACTGTGTGCTGTATTTCCCACTTGTGGGTATACATCCAAAGACAATGGAAGCTGCATATCAAAGAGAAACCTGCGTGTCCATATTTACTGAACATTACTCACAATAGCTAAGATAAAGATGGGCTGGGTGCCATTAACAGATGAGTGGGCAAAGAAAATGTGGTGCAGATACCCACTGAATGCTCTATCATCATTCAGCCATAAAGAAGGAAGTCCTATTGTTGCAGGCAGCTGAGTTAGATAGAAATATTTAAGGCAGTCTGGCAGGGCCAGGCTCTCAAAAGAGATAACACAGAAGTCCCAATATTTTGCAACTATGGGAGGGAGGGATGCTCCTACCACGGGCCAGACCTAAAGACCAAATATCAAACAAATGCCAGCCTTCCTAAAGACTGGCATGCGAGATTGATCATCACCCTGAGGGAACCAGAAGAATCATTAATCTGACTATTATTGGATGGCTACCTGATAAAGTCCTGTTCTACATTCATTCCTGCTTGCTATATGCCTTGCTTCCCCATTTGTTCCTGTACTTAATCATTTTTACCTGAGCAATGGCGCTTGTAATCCCATTGATTGACCATAGTTTTGTCCCACCCCACACCCACCTAAGCAAGTTCCCATGTTCTCCACCAACTTAGACCCACCTCACTGCATGGTTTTATACTATAAAAGTCCCTGGAAGAGACAGTTTCCCGGGGACAACCACTCGGGCCCCCCTCCTGTCCCTCGCTTGGACAGGAGCTTTCTTTCCCTCAATAAATATATTCTGCTTATAACCTCTGTTTGTTCCTAAAATTCATTCTTCAGTTTTAGAGAACACGAACGTGTGCAGCTCAGGTCGGGAGATCATTTTTCCCTATGTCATTTGGAGGTTCCCTGTATCATTTGGAGGTCACCCACCCGAGATCATTTTTCCTCCCTGTGTCACTATCCTTTGTAGCAAGACGAGTGGGACTGGTACACATTATATGAAGTCAGGTACAGGAAGACACATACCACATGGTCTCTCATATTTGGTAACTAAAACAGGTTGACCTGAAAGTAGAATCTTGCTTAATAAGGATTAGGAAGTGGGCAGTAGAGAGACACAAAGAGTGTGGTTGCATTGGATCAGTGCACACTGTAAGCATGTATGGAAACCTTACTGAGATGTGCAATTGCTATGAGTTACTAAGAAAACGAAGTTCCCAACCCCAGAAAGTAGGATCTTAAATGGCAAGGCACAGTGGGATTTGCTATGTTGCCAGAAGTTGCTACAACTAAGACATTTTAGTAAGCCACAGGCAGCAAATAGCAGGACACTGTATTTAATTCTTTACAATAGGAAATTGACAGGGTATACAACTCTACTACCTCTGTCATAAGAGACGAGGTGGCACTATGGCTGTATGTAGAGACAGAGTGAGCATATGTCAATGTCCCTTGTCTTCCAGGAATCAGGACCAGGACACAGAACAGCCACAGCATGCACGGGTGCAATTCGACCTGCAGCCCCGGGGACTGGCACCCTGACCCAGTGAACACATTCTGGCTGTGGGCCCTCTCCTCTGTTTCTGGGTGAAACCACGCTGTGTCTTGGGAACCCCCAGAGGGTTGCCTTAGTGTACAAGTGAGCACACAGGCATAAGATGGTGACTGTGTTCCTAACAGCGACTCTGCCTTGAGGCTGAATGCCACGCCACAGTCCCCGTATCACTTCATTTAGCCTCAGTTACATTTTATAGTCAGCTCTTAGCTTTATTTTTCTTCCTCAACTGCTAGTGTCAAGGCATCTGTAGATCTTATTTCATCTTTAGTTGACACATATCTGTGTGTATGTCATGGACAGATTTTGAAATCCCACATCCATCAGAAGCAGATGCCAGGCAATGCCATGGACTCACATGTTCGCCAGTGGGTAGTCCTGGGAGACGCCTGCACCGCCACATACTTGCATGGCTCGGTCGATGATCTTGCAGACAGCCCGGGGAGCCACCACTTTGATCATTGCAATCTACATAAGCAGAAGAGGAAGAGCATGCTGCTTTCTTAGACTATATACAGCGAGCCAGAATTTGATATAATCTCTATTTTTTCTCTGTGAATTGAAACAAGGGAACTTTCCCACACCCGTCACCACTTAATAGCCAACAAAGAGATCTGCTGAAATGCATGCAGCTAATGGCTTATATTTCAGTCAATACAGACTTTTTAAAAAAGGGAATCTCTTCCAAATCACATTTTATTCTTTTATTTGTAACCAGCCTTCCTTCCAAAAGGATTTCAGGGAGTTCATAGGTCACACTCATCACATTCAAGGTCATAAAAACAGTGTGAGGGCCTCTGCTCCACTCAGCAGTTTTGCCTTTGCAATTTTATGAGTTTTTTAAGAATAAAATGATTGTGTCCTGAATCCATATAAGCCAGAACATAAGAAGGCAGAGGACATCAGGAGTCTTTCATAAAATATTTACTTCATGGCAGAATCATCCTTTGTATTTAGGTAACTCCCCACGAGAACCCCAGAGCCAGGGCAGAAAGGTTCAATACTCTGCTCGTGGTCCAAGGCCCGCAAAAAGTGGGTAGCGGTTACTATGAATGCCAGCTCTGTGGTGTGCCTAGCATTTCTCCTTTCCTTGCTGCATCCCAAGAGTGCTGAAGATATTCCACGCTGCGAAAATCACTCCTTGAAGTAGCACAGTGAAAGGAAAGCTAGCAAGTGAGAGACACTTATGATTTTGCTTTTGGGGTGTGGTACGAGTGAGTGAACCCAGGACCAATTACATGCTAGAGAAGCCACTAAGTTGCATTCTAGCCCTTCTTTCTTTTTTTAGCTACTTGTAAGTTTCATTCTTTTTTAATTTTAATTAGTACCTGTTTGCAATACCCAATGGTAACATTCAGTGTGGGGAGTTGGTACATGTGTACATTTTTATTCTTTATTTTGAGACAGGGTCTCAGTTGCTCAGGCTAGCCCCAAATTTGTGATCTTCCTGCCTCAGCCTACTGAGTGGTTGCCATTACAGGCATGCAGCACCATACCAGGCTCATTTAGAGTCTTTAAACCAACATCACACAGGAGCTTCTAATGTGCTTGGTACGTTCAAGGTGCCATGAAGCCCACAACGCCCAAAGGCTGGGAGAAACAAGAAGCCTCTGCAGTGATGGTCCAGTGTGCCTCACCTCTTTCCTAGCACCAGCACTGCCCAGAGTATCTATGTTGTGGGCAGCTTTTAAGGTTAACAAGCGGATCTCCTCAATGGCAATACGACTTTCAGCGATCCAGTGTGCCACCACCTCCTGTATGGGAACAAAGGAAGGAGATAAGCTGGTGTCTGACATCCACATGTCACACAGTCTACAGATTGGTGAACACACTTGTTAGCCTGATGACTGTTTGTATGCCCTACTGTACAGATTTTCAAGTAAACAAGTTGATTTGTACCAGCCTAGCCACATACCTGTGGAGTTAGAATTGGAACAGTTTAGAAAGGAACCGTGTTTGTTTAGAAAGATAATTTACTTGCATATCTTATTGCCCAAAGTCAAGATTGCTGAACTGAGTGACTGTCCTACTGTCAAATTACCCATCAGCCCTCCTGAACACTGTGCCACCTGCCTTCGCTTTACCTGGTGGGATGGCAGCAGCAGGGGCCCTGGTTATCATCAAATTGCACATTCCCAGGCACAGAGTGAAGATGATCCAGCAACCCCTCATTGTGTTAGCACTTATTGGTGTACAATTATATTTTTATCTGGTGGAGAGTTCTTTGACTGTAGCACACACATCAACATACTCACAAATGGGATACAGAATAGTTCTCTCCTCAAAAAGCTTCCTAGTGCTGCCTCCTTTGGTCATGCCCTCTGCCCCACCTAACCTCTGGCCACTACTTGATAGGTTCTTCATCACTATAGTTTTGCCTTTTCCAGAATGTCGTATAAATGGCATCTTCTAAGCATCAGTTCTTTTGAGACTGACTTCACTCACTGAGCTTAATACCTCAGAATTACACCCAAAGTGTTTTGTGTATGAAGAGTCCATTCTCTGTATTGCTAGGCAGACTTCCATGACAGGAATGTATCACATTTTGTTTATTCATTCACTCCTATTGTTTCTAGTTCTGAATTATTAGTAGAGCTTCTGTAAACATTTGTATATGAATTTTTGTGTGGATATATATACATTTTCATTTTTTAAGGCAGATACCAGGTATGGAATTATTTGGTCGTTGGCAAATGTTTACAGAATGTACTTAGTTTGTCAAGGTGGCTGTACCGTTTGCCATTCAAACCAACAGAATATGAGAGTTCTAGCTTACTCCCAAATCTGACACATTTTCAGTAATTTTTACAATAGTACTTTAGTAATTGTAACAGCATGCAGAGAGATTGTGGTTTTAGTCGGTACTGCCCTAATGGCTGACACTGTTGAACTTCTATTGACGTATTTGCTATTTCTATCCTCTGTGATGACTCGCTCATCTGTTCAAGTTTAGAAGGCACTTACTTTACATACAATACAGACAAGATAAAAGTAAAAAACAACACAAAAAAGGAAAATGTATGTTATGTAACACTAATTAAATGTTAGATCAAGTACAAATCAGAGCAAAGGAAAACCAGATTGTCATTGTACTAATAATAAAAAAATTAATCTATCAAGAAAATATAGCAATCCTAAATGTATATGCAGTAAACAACATGACTGCCAAAAAATGTAAAAAACTGACAGAACTAAAAAGACAAATAGACACATCTACAATACTCCCTCTTTCTCAGGAATTCAATATCCCTCTTTCTCAGGAACTGGCAGAATGACTAGGCAAAAATGCAGGAAGGCTGCAACAGAGGAACTCAGTTCCACCATCAGCTGACAAGGACTAGCAGGCATTTATAGGACACCCAACAATAGCTGAACACACATTCTTTTCAAGAGACCGTATGGTATATAGTAAGAGAAACTGTTCTGGGCCATAAAAAAAAATCTCAAAAAATATAAAAACTGAATACAGAGTTTGTTTTGTGACCATAGTAAAATCAAATTAGAAATCAATTAACATAGAGAAAATAGGAAAACCAAACTGTTCATAAATTTAGAGAGATACTTCTAAATAATCCATTGGTCAAACAAGGACTCTCAAGAGAAATTAAAAATACATGGAGCTCAATGAAAATAAAGAAGAACATCTCAAAATCTGTGAGCTATAGGTAAAACAGTTCTGAGGGAAATTTATAGCACCAAAATCCATATCATAGATAAGAGGAAAAATATCCCAAAAATCTATGTGATCACCTCAAGAACTTAGAACAGTAAAATGCCCCCAAAACAAAAGGAAATAATAAAGAGTAAAGATACATAAAACTGATGACAGAATAAGGAAAACGGTAAAGAAAAAAATCTTGATAATAAAATCTTCCAGTGACTAAATACATAAAACTGATATCTTAGGCAAAGTGAATACTTTCTCTAACAAAAAAGCTACCAATATAAAATATTCAAGGAATTGATTTGGAAATTTATTATCCTTCTCTATCTCCCAAATCTCCTAGCCCAGACTATCACAGGAGAAGTCTACCAAATCTTCAAAGAAAAGTCAACATCGGTTGTAGACAATGTCTTCTAGAAACTAAAAGATATAGAACATTTCCTAAATCTTTTGTAAAGCTAGTGTGCTAGAACTATAGAAAGGTGACATGGGAAAGGGAAGTGCAGGTCCATGTGCCTCACTGACACAGATGAAAGAGCACCTAACTAGCAGCGAACAGCGCAGTAATGGTTACGAGGCTGGAGAAGGGTGGAAGGAGGAAGGGCGAGAGGCGCAACAGCAGACTCGTGGGTACTAAGGACACTTAGAAGAAATATGTTCCAATGTTTTACTGCCCAGTAGGCTAGTTATAGATACTGATAGTGTACTGTATATTTCCAAATAACAGGTAGGAGAAAGGATTTTTCATGTTTTTTATTATAAAAAGTGATGTTTGAGGAGATAAACATGACTACTGTATCTTCTTTTTTTGCCTTTCAATAATTTTATTGACTTGAAAGGTATATCTCTTAGTACCAAAAATAATGATAGTTGGTTAGGTTACCTCTGTCAACTGAAAATTAATACTGATGTTTTTAGAACATTGAAATATATCAACCTTGTGGTAGAACTGAAGTTATCCATCCAGCACAGTTTACAAAAAGTTAAAGGTAGAATACACTGTGGTTCTTTGGCTGACGTTTCAGTGCTCATTTATCTGTAAGGTGATCCCAAGGTGGGTGTCCATTCTGGACAGACTCGGGCTCCAGGCCTCGCTGAGCTGCTGTTCACAGCGCTGAGAGTATTCACATCTCACGTTCATCGGCTCACAAGGAAAAGCTCAAATGCTGCCTCGGCGATCTCGTAATTACGGAGGTGCCGGCTTGCTTTTCTTGACACATAGTATAGAAATTTGTGGAAGATATTCTATTCGTTTAAAAAAACAAAAACCTAGAAGCAATAGCAGTTTTGTAGAAACAATTCAAGTAAAACCTGGAGTGCTTTACCTAGCTAGAACTTAGGGGAAAGCAAGTGTTCAGAGTGTTAACTGACTTAGACTTACTATGTAATATAATAGTAAACGTTTTTTTAAAAAATGGGATTAGACTGAAGAAGTAGATTCTATATAGAAATTTTTACCACTGACACAAACATAGCCTGTTTTTTAGAAGAAATATTAAAGATAGCTCAATGAATATGTCAAACTTACTAGGTCTGTATTCTGGCTTAATAAAAAAAGTCTAAATTTAAATGCATTTCCCATAGAGCAATAACAGTCTCATCTCTAAATTACATTATTACTTGCATTATGGGTGTCAGGAAACCATCACATTATCTAGAATATAACCTTTATGCCTTGAAAAAGTGCATGTGTAAAATGTTTTTTTGTTTGTTTGTTTGTTTGTTTTTGGTGGAAACCGGGGATTGAACTCAGGCCCTTGCACTTCCAGGGAAGTGCTTATTCCACTGAGCCATCTCTGCGGCCCCCAAAATGTTGGTTTTGATGTAAACCTTATAATTAAATATTGAACATTTAAATTAAGTAGGTTACCATTTTCAACATCACCTGAACATATTGATCCAATATAGAAAGTTAGGTTAATGTTAGAAATGAAGATTCACAGTTCTCCTTTTCACGCTTGTATTAAGTATTTCACATTTATGCCGTTAGCTTTACAGATGAGTGCAAATCTACCAATCCTACTATAGCATTATATTAGTTAGGCAGCTCTGCCAAGCTGGAGAGGGAACATCATACTGTTCTAGTTGTGATGTTTTGAGGCTTGATAAATTAAATCCATCATAATATTATGGAATCCAACGTTGAGGGTTGTAGAGAAAGACTTCAAAACAATGTTTTGCCAGTTAAACAGAAGTCCCAATGCTATTATGGTCTACTGGACTCTTTTAGAATATTTTGCTGAGTTTACACACCTATAATATTCAATAACAGAACTCAGAAAATTAGGGTATAC